GTTTCGCAAAACTAAGTATTTAGTTTATTCAACTCCTGCACTAACCTTCTCTTTAGAAACTTTTTATATTCTTTACGATGCTGAGTTAGGATTCTGGGAGTAGTTTTTCTAGAACTACGCTAGACATTTCCAGTTCATAATTTTTCTCGCCAAGCATTCGAGAGAGCCAAACCCTGTAATATAAGGATGGAACTCGCAGAATGATGCGACTGGCAGTTTGAAACATTCGGCACTGTAACAGTAATAATGCCATGTCACTTGCCTATGTAATGCTCATTTTCGCAGATCAAACTGCTTTTTCCGTCTGCACTCATTTTCAGTGGACTCATTCAGCGAACTCGCACCCGAGACTGCAGCGCTGGGTTCTGCGAAGTAATTTGAATGAATATAGATGCAACAGGTTTCTTTGAGTGTGCGTCTAACACGTATTCTTCACATTGAATCTGCTACTGTATTTATGACCGTGTCCTTAAATGTATCCACATTCCAGCTTATTTTTATTTTGACGTTTGAGTTTTCTTCAGTACTTTTCTCAACATCTGTGCTTGTTGAGCCGTACTCAAGACCATACATCTTGTCTTTCCCTATTACATTAATATATAAAACTGTTGATGCCGAGTGAGAATTCAAGGTACCGAATCTGTCATGCGAGTTAAATAAGAACCAATAGAAAGCTCTACAATGGAAATTTTGTTAAAGGAGGCTGTATAAGCACTAAAATAGCACATGCCATGCTAAAAAAAAAAAAATACAAATTCTTGTTAGGTAGGCAAGGATGACACTGCTGTGCTGTTTCTGATGTGTCGCAAAAAAAATCAGTGCCATACAGTGTTCCTTATGGAAGTACAAACTGTCGAATTCAAAGCCCAGAAGTTTTATTCAAGAATGTTTCTCAATACAAATGTATTTAGAGATCTGAGCCACTGACTCATACATGACTATGTGGCGAACATTCATTTTCATGTGCATTATAGTTTACAAGGTCTAGTCTGCATTGATTTATTGCATTCATGCTGAAACTAGGAGGGGTTCTTTGGGTATGAATAAAGATATAAACATTTCTTGAAATCAAAACATTTGAGAACGGACAAAGGGAAGGATCTGAGAACCTGATCTTAGATTCTCTTTTCTTTTTCTTATCTCTAATTTTCACTTTATTTCACCTGATGCATTTAGTTTTTTTAGCGCAGCTCTTAGCACCCGTTTCCGCGCTTTGCGGCGTTGCTGTCGGCGTAACCGCCCAACTAAATTTGGCAGGAAATTGAATTAATGTTGCGGTCATGTGACGTTAATATTTCCGCTAAGTCTAGCTGAGAAACTGAATTTTTTATGGATTACATGACACGGTCGTGCGACGTCATTTTCCCCGCTACTTTTAGCAGGAAAACTGCATTTGTGTTGAGGTCATGTGACATCAATTTCCGCGCTAAATTTAGTGGAAAACTTAACCCGCTAAATTTAGTGGGCAAATTTTCCCGCTAAAATCGGAAATTTCCCGCTAAATGGGAGGGAGCAGAAGAGTAGGAGGGTTAGGGGGTGGGGGGTCATACCCTCCCATCCTCCTGTTCAAGATCTGTGCTCTAATTTCACATTACAGAGAATTGTAAACGTCTCATATTTCATCTCATGTTTATTCAACTTTTATATTGCAGGTGCGCTTGCAGCACAAATCTGGGTTGTGCTGATCCTCTACGCACAAGTTAGGAACTCCTGAGTGGCAAGAGTGGGAGTTTGGCCTGACAGCTCAAGGGACACCATTGTTCAGTATTGTATTTTTAATTATCTTCTTTTGAGCAAAGTTAAGCTTTGCTGCATGCAGGTCTTCTAAAAATAAATACCTGCAACCAATTTTACCACGTCACGACATTTTGCCTCTGCTCTTAGTGCTCCTGGTGAGCCTCGGATAAGAGCTTTCTGGTGTGCAAACATCATGCTTGTTTGAAACCACTCACTGATGTAGAGACTCGCTGACATCCAGCATTCCAATGAAACGCTGGATGTCCACAAGTCTTTCTTGAACAATGCAAGCGGGAAAGGAACCATACAATCGTATCGTATTCGGTTCATTCTAGAGAGTGTTTATTTGTATGTTTTTCAGATATTTTTAAAAAAGCCGTAAAAGCTACATTTACGCGGTCTGTGCACGTGAGTTGCGTGTCTAAGGGGGAACAGGACCTTGGGCGCAGAGACGAGCTCTGATAAGAAACTGAAACCTAGAAACTCGTCCAAATAAAGCGTTTTTACAGAACGCGTAAAAGGCTACCCCTGCATTATATCCTTCTAAAAAGAGTTGATTTTGTGGTTTTCAATGACTCAGCAAGTTTCTAATTGAAACCATATTTTTATTTTCACTAATTAAAAAGTTAATTAACAAATTGTATTTAATTATCTGACTGATCGTTACGATTAGGTCCCTACACTACGTACGCCTGGCCGTATGACTCGCCTGGACAAACCGCATTGATTTAGCTTTCACGACCTTTCTAAACATATATGTAAAGCTTAAAACTAAATCGCCCTGTACAACAGTGAAAAGGCGAAACCAGCATTTTGGAGCCATATGGCTCCACCGTGCTGGTATCGCCTTTTGGCTGGTATAAGTTGTCCCATATTACGTTATGCATGTATGGTTCCACATTTTCCGCCATATTCCACTACGCTGGTATAGGATGTCCCATAATACGACACGCTTGTATGGTTCCGCCTACCTGTATCGTTCCGCTCTAATCCACTATACTGGATCCGCCGATTTGCTTGTATAGGATGTCCCATATTACGGTTACGCTTGTATGAGCCTTTTCCGTCATCTTTCCATCATCGAAATTTTCCAACAGGGAGGTGTGTTTTCTGGCCACACCGCAGAGCATGATTGTAAGCATCGATGCATGCTATTGATACCAAGATCGGGACTTCAGAGAGGATCAGTCAAGTCTTCCTATTTTTATTTTCATTGATTCTTTGGCATTCTAGATATCTTTTTGTAAGCGTGTTCACGTAAGCTTGTTCAACTTTCTGGGTCATAGTATCGGGTCGTTCTGTAATTATCATATGCTTTTTGCATTTGTCATTAGTCTCATCTGAAGTTGTCATGGGCACATGGCTGACACATTTGGTGCTGCTTTGATTTGGAGGGTAAATATTGTCCGCCATAGGTCCAGCAAACTTCATATATTCTACACTTCAAAATTTTCTCGTAGACCTGATTACTAGGCAATAAGCTCCTTTTCAATATGTGCATTTACTTAAATTGAAAAGCCAAAAGGCTTTTAATAATCAGCCACATGCAGAATAAGAACAGTGTTTCTGCCACCTAGTGTGGGAGAAAATGGGTGGGGGGGGGGGGGCGGGGGGGTGGAGGCCAAAGCAAACGCAAGCAGTGTAAATACAACTCTAGGACTTATATGCGGGGTAAGTGAGGAATTTGAACTGTCTACCAAGACCACGTAGCTCACACATTTAGCAGAGGATAATTCGGTTTGATTTAACAAGCTATTGGGGTGGTTGTAAAGCTCCTATACAGCCCCACATGGAGTCACCCTGCATGCACTGATCTAGACTGCTCGTTTCACATAGATTTTTGTGACCTATTGATCTAACTGCTTCTTTTATTTGCAAATTTTTGTGTTATTCAGGATAATTGGGAACCCAGCAAAAGGTTGGCATGTCATGGAGTAAACATGCCATTGTACAGTGTGCTTCACTCTAAAATGTAATGCATGAGCAGTGGCCAAAGCTGATAACACTTGTCTAATGAGGAAATCAATGATACTGCACAAACTGAAGCATATCTTCCTGGGACCGTTGCCACTCCCCTATACAATTATTGCATGACCTCCTTGTTTCTTTTTTTATTGCCCTCAGTTAATTTGACGAGGACTGGATTGCTGTTATCCTTAATAGGTCGGCGTGTCACGTTTATCTTGAGGTCCAATTCACGGGAAATTTGTTTTGATAAGTTAAATAAGGGGAACAACAAAATATTCAGAGCAATGTCTTTTTTTTTTCTTTCTATTTTTTCATCACCGAAACATTTATTGGTCACCGCATTGAAACTGGGAGTGTAACGCACGAAGAGAACTGCAGTGTGACCCTCCAGTCTCTGCCGTCAGACGATGCACACATTCTGCAACATAAGTGCAGGATCAGCTTTCTTTTTTTTTTTGGGGGGGGGGGGGGCAATTTTTCTGGGATGACATGAAAATGTTGTGGTCATCACCATCAAAGTGATTTGTTGTCTGCATGTTCCCTGCTTTAGTGACGAGGCCACTGACAAGCCGCTTCACGGGTACTAAATTGAACTGCTTGACAAGTTGCTCAAACAATAGTGATACACAAATGGCAGTACGAGGACAAGTTGAAGAACCACAAGTAGCGCTTGTCCTATCACTTCTTCAACTTGCCGTTGTCCATAGCACTATTTGTGTTTTGCTCCTCTTCATCTGCTTCATAAAGAGCAAATATATAAGGCTGCTTAATAAAATGACAGCTTCCGTCAAATCGGTAAACATTTCTCTGTAAAACATATTGCCCTGGCCAAGTCCAAGTCTCGTTTTCACGATGAGTCGCATAGTGAATCGGCTAACAATGGTTGATGAATATGATGTAGTTCTACTGAATCAGTAGCATACTTCAATCTCTCTTCTGCACAAAACCTATGTTTCGGAGCGGTTGACATAGTGTTTTCTCGACAGCCGAGGGGCTTGAAGCAGGTGCTTAATGTCTGTGAGCCTCCACCATTGAAATTTTAACTTGTCACTTGCTCTAGAACTTAATAATGGAGCAATGGCAGATTTCATGAAGTTTGCGAAACCGACGTCGGAGACCTTCGAATGGGACAGGTTTACAGGGCTAGAAAAATAATGACAGCACGTCCTCACTCACAATTATCTGTAATAAAAAGACGGTGCCCAGAGAACTGTAGCTAGTTTTAAGTGTCACTCGCTGAAGCGGTTTGTATATTGTGTTAATTCCTGCATTTTGCTGTTGTTTTTCTGTTTCAGGATCCAGTGTTACATTCCTGTGGCTTTTTGGTTGTTTCCCAATTATTGAAGGGAGTTGCAGGCTTATCATGGGCGACACAGTGCTTTGGTGAGTGTACCTTTTATTTACTGCTTGGCCAATCAAATCGAGTGGCTTTGCAGGAAACTCTCTACAGTTTCAGGATGTTTGAGGGTGTGTTCTCCTTCAGACATTCTGAAATGGCACAAATTTTTTTGTGCTGCATCACTATACTCTGTTGAATGACCAGCTGAAATCGTAGTAGAAGCTACATGCTCGTTGGACCAGTCATATGTCTACCTTTCGCCATGTGTTACACTCCCGCCCATAACCATGTGCAGAAGGCGGGGTCCGGTAACGAGAGGGAGGTGGTTGATTGATCCGGTGAGTGCATAGTTACCACCACAGTCAGCTTAGAGGTGAATGTTAATTACTCAAGCTTTAAATAGGTCACAGTACTCAAAGCTTGAGGAACACCTGAGAAGTTTTTAGAATGTTTTTATTTACCGTGTCTACTCGCTCCGTGAGTCTCAAGCTACATCCAACTTGGCTAGCCATCAAGCCAATTTTCTTTCGCCGCCAAGCGGCCAGGCCACTTCAAACCAGGCAAAGCATAGCGGTATATGCTTTCATGGCTGCAAGTGTGTAGTTGCGGATGTGATCAAGAGTGAAACCGAGCGGCGCATACATGTAACAAAGCTGGGGTCGAGGAATTGCCCAGCTTTGGACATGTTTCGCCCACCGAATGCATTGATGTCAACAAACACGCGGTCATCTGTAGCGTGCTTTCGGACAGTGAAATCGTGAAAGTGGTTAGGCCTAAGGACGGTCGCGTCACTCACCATGCTGAGTGAGCTTCCCTAGTAAAAAAATCTTAAATGTATAAAAAAAATTTATGTCCAACAAACGCGTATGATCCAATAAGATCATATAAGAAAATACAAGAACCTTATAAAAACATATAAGAACAATATAAAATTATATTTGAAGTTATAAGAAACTTCTTTTTAGTTTCTTAAAACTTCTTATATAATCTTATATATTTCCTATATTGTTCTTATACATTTTTATAAGGTTTTATATGATCTTATTGGGTCATATGCTTTTATTGGACACCTAAATTTCTTACATGCAAGATTTTTTTACTCTTCACTAGGAGGGCGCTTTTCCTTTGACAGAAGGCACACCGAAAGCACCCTAAAAAAAGGTTTTCAAATTGTAGAACATGGTTATTGTAGCGCGCCCACGACCAGCCGTCGATGCGCCTCCGTCAGTGGAGACATGCCACAGTACCTTGCCGTGTCATACTGCCACCTAAAATTACATTTTCGCGAAGTGTGTAAATGCAGAAATTTACCCTGCATAATGAACGCACCCCCGAAATATATGTCAATTTCAGAATAAAGAGGTGTGTTCATTATGCGGGTAAATATGGTAAAAAAGTGAATGATGACTCAAACAAATGCAAAACTCATACATTGGAATTTGAAAAAAATCACCAACCATATCCTACAACAAGGTCCCAATGTTTCAAAAACAGCTTGTTTTTTTCTTCAGGGGTGACTGCTTCCAGATAGGGGACAACAGCTTCGTTTTCTTCTACGATAGTCTCTTTTTTTTCACTTCGTTAGGTGGCTGAGTCCGTTCACGTAGCCTGATGGCAATGTGCCAGTGGACCTATTGATGTTTCCTGGTGTTGTTTGGATATGCCATGACTATAAAAAGCTGCTGGCAGAAGTTTGTCTCAACATTTATGAGGGTGTTGGCAAAGTTGATGCGATATTCATTGTCCTCACAGTGCTCTGCAACAGCGCTGCGCTCGTGGTCGAATTTGCAGTTGTTTTTGTGTTGTTGAATTCTTTCTGGGAAGTTCTTTGTTTTTCCAATGTAGGTGGCATGGAATTGAATATACAATGCCCTGCGCTCTTTGTTTAGAGGGATGACCTTTAATTCGCAGCATCATACGTCAAAGTGTTGATACCGGTTTGTGGGACACCTGAATACTTTCTTTTACCAGCATACATGACAGCGCTTCGCTAGTCCCCTTTATGTAGGGAACACAGATGCGGGTGTGTGGACGGATGTTTTTGAGTTTTTAAGCTTTCTCCCGACCAGGCAGGCCTCTGCCAAAATGTTTACCCTCAAAACTTGCACTGCATGTAGTAATGGCTCTTGGTCTGCGAGAATTTTTGTTTTAGTTTTGTGTTTGTTGAGCATTATTGGGCAAATGACAAAGGCTATGCCACCTCATTATGACCACAGTAAAAAGACCTATACACTTGATAACATAGTCCTGTCATGTTTTTGCTTTGAAAAAAATGTTAACACACAAGATTAATCTATTTCTTGACCCCGTGACTGGGGACCCATGACCAAAAAAAAATTTTTTTGTCCCTATTTTGCCTATATTTTTTTGTACGAAACTTTTCTTGTGCTACCATCATAGCTTTAATTTCTAAAGGAAAATTATTTCCGATGTTAGGGGATAGATGGTGCTTCCTCCCGTACGATAAAAAGAGTGAGCGTTTAAAGGCGCACTCCCCAAACTGATTGAAGAGTGGTGCATCTATGAGTGCGCCCCCCAGGCTGCTGTTAAAATTGCCAAGCATCCAAAGATCTTATCAAAAGTAATAGATAAATCTTTGTCTAAGGTGAAGTGAATATTTACATTAAATTCAAGTAATGACGCAATAACAACATGGCAGTGCCCACAAGCTGCATGCGCATGAACGACTTTCACCATCCAAATGGATGAATGACCGTTTTGGCAGAACTGGACAATGAGGAAAAGGGTACCAATACTTGAGTGTAGCTTTCTAGGGGCTATTACCATTTTAAATTGCAATTCTCATTTGCTCTTTCAGCTCGCACCTTCACGGAGTACAGCAGTGTGGGGAAGCAAGTCGAGGACAGCCTCTCTCGATTTCTGTCCCGGGGGCGCTATGCTCTTCCAGGTAAGCTGCTTCCCTCCCTTAAGAGACACGAGTAGACCCTTTTATTCAAGACAAGAATGACAATAATAATCACATCAAATAAAATGGGGAACAAGGGGACAAAGGAGATTCCTCTTTGACCTTTCTCCCCCTTGTACCCCTTTTCCAGGGATTATTATTGTATTCATACTTATTACATTATTGTGGAGTTGAGACATTTTGACAACCTGTGGTTGGCTGATGTGTTGTGGAAGTTAAAGCTATTGCACATTCAAACATTGTGTGAAATACAGTAGAACCCTGCTGCTGCATCTTTATGCAGTCACAATAAAGGATCATGACATGAGCGAAGATGTAACAACTGATAATGCCCTTGGGATAGCTATAGATGTTTCAGGAAGCTGTATTCTCTGTTTATCTTACCTTAGCTTTTGTGGCTGTAAAAAAGATTGCCTTATTTTATATGTTGACAATTTTTTCAACACTTCTTAAAATTGTGGTTGAACTATAAGTAACACACTGTTTACAAACAAGCTTGTGTTTGCCCACAGCAGCTATGGGCACTGCATACGCAGGAACTAGATTCGTGTGAGCAGACGTGTGTACATGTGCTGTGCCGACAGCCGCGCCATCGCAGTGATGCGTTGTCTATCGTTGCAGTTAAAAAAATATTGAAATATAAGGATGCAAAAATTCTGAGCCCATCGAGCTAAACCACGGCTGCCTCAAACAAAGCAGTGGGGCTTGATGCAATCAGCACTGCTTGAACATGGTGGCATGGAGGTGGTAAAGAAAAATGGGGTGTCGTGAGAGCCTGAATCTCTTATTGTCATACAGGACCAAGCAAGAAACACAGTGCAGAGAGGCAAGGAGGTAAAATAAAGGGAGTAAAACAAAAGGAACAGGGTATGTGTTCCTAGTAGTCATGCCGGCCACCTTGAGTGGCAGTGTTTGGGCATAAGAACCAAGAAGGGAATTCATGAAGCCTGTAATTCTAACACATATATACTTTTGGACGTTCGATAGGACCGGTTTCCGTGAACATAACAGCCGAGAAAACATCTGAGCAAGGTTCTTCTGTGCATATTTTTGAATGTGCTGCAAGAATATTTGTGGTTATATGGCCACTTAATTTATAATGTTTTTCTTCTTTCAGCTGACACCTTACAGACATGTCAGGAAGCAAGGAAAGGTTATTTTTTCACTCATCGTTTACATTTGGGTGATTAACTTAGTCTTGAAAAAAAACACGTCATTTTAATGACATTGTGATAAATAAATTTTGGGTCTTTAAATTGTTCTTCAATCTTTGTTTTCTTCCCATATTAAAGCCGCGGCACTATGTGTATCAGGCATGGAATCAATGGTAGGCCATGTAAACTATTGCAGTTTTTCGGCGGGCCAGCTTAAAGTTTACGAGGGGTTGACAATGGCGAAATGGTCACGAAATTCGATCAAATGACGTCTATGTGATAATTATGCCCTTATAAAAATGGTTGATGCCATTTTGTATTATTGCCAAATGGCAACAGGTGTTTAAGAGCAGTCAATCAGCAGGCAACAGATGTTAATCGTCATTGAGATGTCATCTTGTTGACCCGGATAGCCAATTCGCCACCGTCAACTTTTTGCCGTTCTATTGGTTATTGTCGGTGCATTGCCAGTGTATCTACATGCTAATTCTAATTGGCTATTGGAGGCAGTCAAAAGACTATAAAATGTATAGTCCTTTGATTGCCTCCTTTAGCCATTTAACGTTAACATGTAGATACACTGATGATACACCGACAATAACCAATAGAACGGCAAAAAGTTGACGGTGGCGAAATGGCTATCCGGGTCAGCAGGGGGACGTCTCAATGACGATTAACATCTGTTGCCTGCTGATTGACTACTTGTAAACAGCTGTTGCCATTTGGCAATAATATGACTTTCAAATGGCTTTAACCATTTTCATAGGGGGGCAGCGGCGGGAGTGCGAAGCTCGGCGCGGCGCGACATGAAATCAGGTGTCCTCTCACGATCATCATCGCCCTAGCTGCGGGTACTAATTGACGACGTTAGACTTGAAACCGTAACGTTAGGCTTAACGTTAGGCCTTCCGCCACGCCTGCGCATACCAGCGTCCCCCCTCACGTCAAATAGCTGAGCGTATCGGTTGACGACGTTGGACCTCTAACCGTAACAATAGGCCTAACGTCAGGCCAGCGCATACCCAGGTCTCCCCCTCCCGGTGGGCCTTAGGCTCGCTCTTTGGTAACGATGACGCCGTTGCTATGGAGCCACATGACGCGCCGCTGCCAAAAGGAATTTAGGTGCCGTTTTGCGTTACTATAGACAACGCCGGCTTCACCCATGGGACCAGCTAATGTTTTCGCATTAAAATAGTAACGCGTGTGCGAGTAATTCTTCTTTAGACCGTTTCGCGAAGTCAAAAGCATATTTAGCGTTCCTTTGCGGATTAGAGGATATTGAATATTGGGCGGGTCAATGAAGCTCTTTGAACGAAACGTTCTGTGTCCCTATGCTCCGTTTCACTGTACACCCGGGCGCAGCCAACGCTATAATCTGACGAAGGCAATCGAGCAGCTCGCTCTGAAAGGTGCATCGTCACGACGCTCGTCGTCTTTCTGCTTTTTCTATTATCGACTTAACCAATCCCACAAAGTTCACAATGATTTTTATTGTGAACTGTGTGATTGATCAAAAATAAAAAAATGATTTTTGACTTTTTATTGAAAACGTGTCGACTTCTTGTTGACTCTGATTACTTCCTTTTGACTTTGACTTTCTGTTGACATGGTCAACAGAAAGTTTGTTGACTTTGTGTTGAAACTTTTCTGATGATTTTCTTCAGCCTGAGTCAAAAGAAAAGCTGTTGACTTTCTATTAACTTCACGTTGAATTTTTCCTGCTGCCTTTCTGTTGACATGGTCAACAGGAAGTTTGTTGACTTTGTGTTGAAACTTTTCTGAAGATTTTCTTCAGCCTGAGTCAAAAGAAATGCTGTTGACTTTCTATTAACTTTATGTTTATTTTTTCCTGCTGCCTTTCTGTTGACATGGTCAACAGAAAGTTTGTTGACAATGTGTTGAAACGTTTCTGATGATTTTCTTCTGCCTGAGTCAAAAGAAAAGCTGTTGATTTTCTATTAACTTCATGTTGATTTTTTCCTGCTGCCTTTCTGTTGACATGGTCAACAGAAAGTTTGTTGACTTTGTGTTGAAAGTTTTCTGATGATTTTCTTCACCTTGAGTCAAAAGAAATGCTGTTGACTTTCTATTAACTTTATGTTGAATTTTTCCTGCTGCCTTTCTATTGACATGGTCAACAGAAAGTTTGTTGACTTTGTGTTGAAACTTTTCTGATGATTTTCTTCAGCCTGAGTCAAAATAAAAGCTGTTGACTTTCTATTAACTTCATGTTGATTTTTTCCTGCTGTCTTTCTGTTGACATGGTCAACAGAAAGTTTGTTGACTTTGTGTTGAAACTTTTCTGGTGATTTTCTTCAGCCTGAGTCAAAAGAAATGCTGTTTACTTTCTATTAACTTTATGTTGATTTTTTCCTGCTGCCTTTCTGTTGACATGGTCAACAGAAAGTTTGTTGACTTTGTGTTGAAACGTTTCTGATGATTTTCTTCAGCCTGAGTCAAAAGAAAAGCTGTTGACTTTCTATTAACTTTATGGTGATTTTTTCCTGCTGCCTTTCTGTTGACATGGTCAACAGAAAGTTTGTTGACTTTGTGTTGAAAGTTTTCTGATGATTTTCTTCAGCCTGAGTCAAAAGGATAGTTGTTGACTTTCTATTAACTTTATGTTGAGTTTTTTTTCTGCTGACTTTCTGTTGACAGTGTCATCAAAATGACTGGAGACCTTCTGTTTACTTCGCGTTGAAAATTTTCTGTTGCCTCTCTGTAGCCAGTGTCATCAGAAAATTTACAGACTTTCTGTTGACTTCTTATAGAACATTGTACACCTCGACTAGATGTCAAAAGTTGCTAAGTTTTTCAAGTCTCTCACAAGATGAGAACGGTAAGCAGCTTCAGCAGTCCCACCTCCAGCGCGAGCCCACTACCCTTGACAATGCCTCGGCGTTCGCGCACCTCGAGCGCGCGCGTGCAGTCAAAGCACGACGAAAGGCAAGGGGCCTTCCGTCGTGGAGGCCAGGAGCTCGAAAGGTATGCCCTGCCGTTCTGACTGTGTAAGTGACCATAGTGGCTTTAATGACCATATTGAATAGCCAACTAGCAAAGGAAAGCAAATTAACTATTTGAGAGTGGAGAAACTGCCTTCTCTCTTCGTCCTGAGTGGGACTATGCAGAGAAGCCATAATATTTCTTACAGGAGCCGTTTTTGTGGATGTTGTTTTAGCGACTGCGCCGAATTATTATTAGTAGTACCAATGCTTTTTAGTAAGAGATATCGTCCACGAACTTCAAAAGACTGTTTTCCCTTTGACAGACTCCCGAGGAGAAGTTCAAATGCTTGGAACCTTAAGAAGTGCTGAGGGAGTTACCGGCCAAATAATTAACCTCATTATGTAGGCTGTATAAGGCTCTGGGGCAGTCAATGGGTCTGTGATTCAGGTGTTCTGTCAGAACTCTACTGAAGGATGAACAGTTTATTGGCACTGTTACCGAACTGTTGCAGCGTATGAGCGAAACGGAGGGGGAACTAAACGAGGCGTGGGAGCTATTTAAAGAGGAAGTTAAATTAGCAGCCATCGAAAGGTCCAGCAACATTCAGTTCCAACGCAGAGCGCGCGAAAAACATCTAAAACGTAACTTAGACGCACTTCACAGATTAGAAAACCAAAACCCTGGAACAAGCATGGGTGATATTCGGAACATTAAAGCAGAACTAAACAAATTATACCTAGAGAGCGTATGACAGAGGAGCTGTCATACGCTCACGGTCTCAGAAATATCTATTGGGAGAACAACCCACCAAGCGGGCTTTGTCCGATGAAAAGAGGTACGCTTTGGCGAAAAAATTCATGAAATCGATTTCAACGGAACAACCAGCAAAGACCAAAAAACAATTCAGGAATGCATTGTCAATTATTACGCTAAGCTTTTTGGCGAAAAGCCGACTCCCAAAGGTTTCACAGAACTCGATAATTATCTGAAGCTCATGCCTCAGCTAAGCGAAAACGAGAGAACATGGCTGGAAGGGGACATCACCATAGGAGAAATGATATATCAATATTTCAAGAAGCATACACAAAATACAGATTACCTCGCTCATTTGCAGAAACTCACACCATCTTTATACCGAAATCAGATGACATGATCAGAAAACGCAGTGTAACAGGCTACCGGCCTATCTCTCTATGTAACACAGATTATAAAATTTTTACCAAAGTACTCGCGCGCTGTCTACAGGTTGTTATTCGCAACCTCGTCGGCGACCACCAAACTTGTGGTATGCAAGGGAGGTCCATACAAACCAACATACACGTCGCAAGGAGCATTCTGGAAACAGTAGGGACAGGTCGCGTAGCTATGATTCAGTTGGATTTTGAAAAAGCCTATGATAAAGTGCGCCATGACGTTCTTAACCGGATTTTATCTCACGTAAATGTCGGGGAAATTATTTAAAGGGCATCGCAATGGCTTATAACAACTGTGGGACGAGGCTGATAATAAATAATTGTTTATCAGAACGCATAGGAAGACAGACATCAGTGCGACAGGGCTGTCCTTTGTAGCCTTTACTCTTTTCGCTCTACCTAGAACCTTTCTGCTTGAAAGTTGCAGCTTGCTGAAGCATCCGAGGTTTTACCATAAACGCGGTCCAAGTCAAGGTGTCAGCGTATGCTGACGATGTTGCCTATTTTTTGCTGCGACAAAAAAAGCATAATGGAAACCGTGCGGATAACAAAAGAGTTCTGTGATGTCACTGGGGCCGCAGTTAATTGGGGAAAGTGTTGCGGGCTCTGGCACGGGAATTGGGTCTCAAAACCTCAATCCTTTGCAGGCTGAAGTTGGACGGACACACCGACCACGTATCTCGGGGGGCCATTACAGCACTACAAAAATAGCACACCATATTGGGCCGAAGTCCTAGGAGATTTAAAATCAGAAGCAACCTCGTGGGCAAACCGTGATATGTCGATGTTCACCCGTGCCACAGTGTGAAACATTTTTCTCGTCGCAAAGCTTTGGTACGTGATGCAGGTGCTGGAATGCAAGCGAACGAGCATACAAAAGTTCCACCGAGTATTCGCCACTTTGGTCCGGAATTCCAGCTGGGAGAGGACGCGGCGGGATAACCTTTTCCGCCGCGTCAAAGCCGGAGGACTGGGACTCACCCACTTACTTGTGAGACAATTGGTCTCACGTTTCACTTTTCTTCGAGACCAGACCCATCCTTTCTTACGAACTGTTATCCAGATAAAACTGGCGAACGCACTGCCCTCTATGCTAGTAACAAGTGACTGCGGTGAACCTTTGAGTCTTTTTGGGTTTCTGAAAGAGGTGAAAGATGCTGCCTCCTTGTTACGGGCACGATTTTCTATGGAATACCTAGAGAGTGTAAAGAAAAAAAGATTGTCGCGAGTTTTGATTGAATTGCTTTTTCCCACGCCCCTGTATCGCACTGTTTACAGCCATTGTCCAGGGCAAAACGTATTGTGCCGCGTTAAACAAATGTGTGTCCCCCCCGCAGTCAAGTCCTTCTTCTTCAAACTACATAGCGGCACCTTACCTGTCAAGCCGTGGTTGAGGGAAAGGGTTTTTTTTGTTTCCTGGTCGGTTGACTGCCTTTTGTGCAAGGTACCAGAAACAACCGAACACATTTTTATTCGTTGCTGGGACGCGGTGTTTTTGTGGGATATTCTACAGAGGACGTTGAAGAAGGATCTGACTATAACCCATGAAACTATCCGTTTTCTGCCAGTGGGAGGAGACCCGGTTCCTTATGATTTATTTATGGTACTTGGCCTTTTTAGTGTGTGGAAAACCCGAATGGAACTGCATCATGCAAACCTGACATTAAACCTGCGCGACTTCATTTCATTGATTTGGTAACGCAGATACAGTCTGTATACTGCAAGTCCCCCGACACTGCACCCGACTGGGCGCACTTGCTTGAGTCGATAAAAAATATGAAGGAATTTTAATTAGCCCACAAGTTGTTGGGCGGTTTGTGTGTGTATTAACTTAGCATTCGTATGCTGCATTCTGTGTTCAATAAAGAAAAAAAAATTCAGGTGTTCTGTGCAAATAAAGAAAAACAATTCAGGTGTTCAGTGCTTTGTTTTCGTTCCTAATGTGTAGTTGTGAGGTGTACGTAGTTGTGACTTCAAATAACACATTTACTAAGAAAATATGAAAAAACAAAATTCGCGTTTTTTTTTAACTTTATTTCGCTTCAGCTAATTTGGAGGAGTGGAAAGCCATAGTAAGCTTCCAAAACATTGTTGAATCAATAGCTAAGCTGTAAAGAATTGTTTTTCTTTTTAATCTTCTGTAGCTTTTCAGATGAAAAGCTGCAGAAAAAGCATCTTGAAGGCGACAGAAAGTCTGTTGACTTTCTTATTACAAGGTGGGCCAATATTGAAAAGAAAGTCAACAGAAAAGCTAGAGAAAGTCAGATGGAAAGCTCTTGACATTTTATATCCTCTGATGACGTTTTTCGACAGCTTTTCAACAGAAAAGCATAACAATTTTTGGTAAGGGTGGTTTTGATTTTCTTCTCTTCTGCGCGTGGCAGGTCTAGCCGTTGCTAGCAAACGTGCCACTCAAAAGTCGTAACGATACAATTTTAGCGCTGGCTGATCTGCTAACGTCGGCTGCGCTTGGGCTTCCTGTGCGGCAACAGCATTCGGGTTGTTGGCCCGGTCGCACGTTGTGTCTCTCTATTGGCTAACATCCCGGATGCGCATGTTTGTCTCGGGTCCACGTGTAGCATAGTTGTGGAGCATTATGACCGTTATAAAGCTAGTGCAGAGCTACGCTTCTGAATGTTCGATCACAACATGCCGGACGGATAGAAGATAACTGCGAACGAATCCCGGCCACGTGCCATAACTGGATACGATGAGGTTTCCTAGAACTACCATGAAACATTATATTCCGGGTCACTAAGTTCAACCGCAGCCGACGCTGCAACCCGATGAGCCAATCAAAGAGCTCCAAAAGTACATCGTTATAAAACTACTCGTTTCTTTTTGTGTGTGTGTGTGTGTAAGGGGCGGGGGGTTACTGCCGGTTAAACCAATCAGTCATGAAGAAAAGCGCAGGCACCGGCGCGTTCACTCTGCTTGATTGGTTGATTCGGTGATAGCAGACGCCCAAAGACGATAAGTGCCACGACAAAGCACTTTCTGCGACAATTAATTGGCTCCGTGGGATGGTTTAGCGTCGGGTACGTTCTGACGTAAAGTAAAACGGAGCATAGCGTGGGTCCCTTTGTTTTTTGGGGTCAATCCAGATCCGGTTCCGGTTTCTTCATATTTAAAAGCGTAAGCTAAATCCTCCGCTGCTTCGCTGTACTGAGGGTAGTTTGTTGCGAGCAAAAAACGAAACGATGGTCTACGAAGTGCTTTTTCTGGTTGTCTGTGCTGGTCTGTGCTTCACGACACCCTGCTTAGCCTCCGTGCAACAGCCGTCGCTGTCGTCATGCTCTTGTAAGTATGAAGCTGGTTCTGGAACCTCTAAGGGAACTTATTGGGGTGCCGCAGTTTTTCCTACGCCGTAAAACGGATCGGAAAAATCATCACCTTCACATAGAAAGCTGGAACTTTCACCGAGTGTGTATTTTGGTGGCGGATTTCACCTTGTCAAATTTTCGAGGCGTATAGTTGTCTTCCTGTAAAAATAAGACCGACAGTTTTGCCAAAAGTCATTGGCAGACGTGTTCGCAGACGGTTGTGTTAGCGATGAATGTTGCATGTGGCGTCGGCATACAATAGAGCGCGTCGTCTTTTCGCATGCGCCTATCGGGAGATGGCGCCACAAGTTGTATTCATCGCTAACTCGGTCGTCTTCGAACACCTCCGCCGTTAACTTTGGCGAGCTTGTCGATCTCACTTTTTACAGAAAAACAACTACACCTTGAAATACCGGAAGGCTAATACAGCGCCTCAGTACAAATTCTGTAAAAGTTTGAGATTTCTATGTGCAGGCGCCTATTTTTCTGGTTCGTTTTACAGTGTAACAAACACTGTGACCACTCTATAAATTGTACGCTGGTCATCACCCTTGTCCATAACGCGGGAGCGCAGAGCTTTCTCCGGCGAGCGCTCGACTGGTGGCATTCGCGGACACTAATTTCGTCACGTGGGGGAACATGGAACAGCCCAGTATCGTTTCCACTTTTTATCGGGAGCCGCCGGGGCTGCCGAACGCGGGAGGCTGCTATCACACCTTTCACAGCGAACTGTTGATATGAGTGCGATCACGCAGCCTATATGCGGACCAAAGCAGGCGCGAAACGTGATAACAGCCTCCAACGTACGGCGGCTCCCGATGAATCTGGCAGTACACCCCTCGAGCTTGCTGTACCGTGTTGTCCCACGTGCAATAGGTTAGTTGCCGCGAATGCCACGAGTCGAGCGCTCGCCAGACAAAGTCGCCAGGCCGCGCGCCCCCGCGTTATGGACAAGTGTGATTGCCACAGTACGTAAAATGATGATATACAAATGTTTAACGCGTCGAAAGTATAGTCCCAAGAGCATATGTTGCGATTTTGGTATACGGCGGCGTATTCGGGCGGTCGCTGTCACGTCGTGCAGGCAAGAAACAGCGCAAGGATACTGTTATTTTCGCTGGTCCGCTCAATAATATATGTACAGGACAAATGCAAATTGTTATCCTGCGAATAAAAAAATGCACCGGAAAGGACTGACTACAATAGAGAATGTTAAACGAGACAAGGCGCAACTTGCCTATAATACCTATTTTTCTCGGTGCCTTTTCCCATCAGCGATTAGAACGAACCGGTCCAATTATCCAATCTGCATTATGATGCTGCGGTCCTTATAAGGCCTCGCTCGTGTTTTTTTTTCCCCGAAGTTTGTTAACACTAATTAAGCAGTATGTAATTATCAATCGTGCTTTGTCTAAAATAAGTATCGAGTTATGCATTCATGACAGAAAAATAAAGGATAATAATTTTCGCGAGGAATCCATTCCTACACTTGTTAGTGAGCGCGTTGATAATGATGTAGGTTTAGAAAGAGTTATAGACTTAAAGACAGGGGACGGGAACACACATCACGGGACAAAAAGATGTGTTGTCCCGTCCCCTGTCTTTACGTCTATAACTCTCTCTAAACCTAAATCCGTTCCTTTCGTCGTGCGCGGTGTTTACATTCCGCAAAAGGAACAAATTACTCATGGTCGGGAAATTTATGTCGCCAAACTCACTGACACTTTAAGAAACGCGAGTCTTATTCTGCTTTCTGCTTGGGGATTCGTTCTTCGGCTTCTTTCTCACTGGCTCCGGAGCGCGCGTTCAGTCACGCCCGGCATTAGTATATGTAACTTGAAGTTGATAGTCAATAGGAATACCGTATATCCGTCATTTAATGACTGTTCTTACACTCTAAGAAATGCCTGCGCGTCTACTTACTCTCAAAACACTCGAAGAGCCAATCTCTGCGATCTACGAAATCAGCTCAGCGAATGACAAGGCGGAACATCGGATTATACCTCAAAATGAAGTCTGCGCTGTGGCATTACGCAATGCAAGCAAGACGCTGTGCATTGCGTAGTGCCACAGCGCAGATTTTATTTTTAAGTCTAAACGGATGTTCTACCTCATCATTCGCTGAGGTAATTTTGTAGATCACACATTTTGGCTCTTTGAGTGTTATGCGGGTAGGTAGACGCGCAGGCACTTCTTAGAGTGTAGGTGTAGGCATTCGCTATAAGCTTTGGTTGAGGCAAACTTAAATAACACAAAAAAAACACGCTAAAGGTCTAGTTTTCATTTGCGACTCAACATTTGGCCTTCGGCCTAAAAACTCTTATTTCCATGATGGCGAGGGAGGGGAAGGCATCAATAAGCCACCAGAAAACCATGGTGTGAAAATAGTTTGATCTATTCATTTATTACTTCGAATTTAAAACTCCTGCAGCAAGAACGAACGAAACAGACAACTAGAAAACAAACGAGCAAACGAGCAAAAATATGGTTATGTGATAGGGAGTCGTGAAAATTATCGATGGAGTTGCCAATATGCAGTGTCCAGTTGCTCGTGTTGAGCGGGGCGACAGTATGTTGCGAGGGATAAGGCCCGTTTATGCACTTGCGTTTGCTTAGGACCGAGCGCTCGTGAGCTCTTACGACGAAAGTGCATACTGACACGCTGGCGCCATCTATGAGGTGTCTCTAGAACCGCATTTCGCTTGAGCGAACGTTTAGCGGTATTTACGAAATGAAATATACGTACTACTTATAAGAAATGGTCGTTTGTGTAACTGTAGAAAGTGTTCAAGAAAAAAAAAACTGGTGCGCGAAAAAACAAAACAAAAAACAACAAGGAAATACACGGAAATTGAAAATGTTCCGCGGAAACCTGATAGACCGCGCCAGTGTGTTATTTCGCCGTAAAAGTTTTTAAGGGGGTTTAAGGCACACGGTCGAAAGCAGTCAAATGTGTGTGAACCAACCCTTACTCCCCTGGAACCCGCGCATTTTGTTTGAACGCGATTATGTTACAGCTACGCAGGTCCTGAAAGTCAGTGGCGTGAGCATCACCAACGCCAAGGTGGGCCAAACGATGCTGTTTAACTACACGGGCGACCTGACGACCAGCCTGGCAAACTCCCCAGTGCTAAACTTCACAATGACCGTAAAATCAACAGGAAACCTAGTCCCATGCTTTTTGAACGTGGGATCATGGTATGTCATCCGCCTAACTACACTTTCCAGTGTGCTTTTTTTATCTTTGCTGAAATGGCTTTAACACTCAGTTCTATAGAATTTAATTATACTCGCCGTTATTAGGGTAATCATTATTATTATTTGTTTTTTTATGGAACCCACTAGTCCAGCCAAAATGTTTCTTTAGCTCGTCAGTAAATTTCCTTGTTAAATTCAGCAAACAAATGCGCGCCCACAAAAAAACAAAAAAACGAAAAAAACCCGCTATTATTTAACTTTGTCTTTTTGAACATAGAGACTGGGTCCCTAGTGTCAATAGTGTCAAAATCTCACTATTTATTTGATCTTACCTTGCACGCTACGTCAGCTTTGTGAAACGCCACCAAAAGTGAGTATAGGGGCCATGGGAAACGCACGAACGTATGCAGAATTGTGGAAATCGATTTAGCACGGCAAAGGAAGGCCCAACATAACCTAAGATTGACAAGCCAAGCGGCCTAACTTGTAGGCCTAACTTATAGGCCTAAGACCTAATACCTCTACCCCGAATGCCTCTCGTACCTCCCCAAGCCTCACCTTCCCATCCAGCTAATCCCGAGTCGTCCCTTCCAACTGGAGCCTTTCTGTCATCCCTATCCATTACCGAACAAGACTTAGAAGAATCACTGACCTCGCTTCGCCCAGCACAGAACCCTGGACCAGACCGAGTGCATCCTGCTTTTCTCCAGCTCTCCGCCCCTCTGGTCAAGCCCATCCTCATCCGCATGTTTCAACGCATACTTGACTCTGGCACTGTACCCATTCAATGGAAGAGATCCATCATAACGCCCATCCACAAAGGAAATGGACTTGACACCAACAGCATTGATTCGTATCTCCCCATCGCCTCCACTTCAGTTGTGAGCCGCACACTGGAAAGAATAGTAAATAACAAAATCCTGAACCACCTGGAGGACAATGGCCTACTAAATCAGGCACAACACGGATTCCGAAGGGGACGCAGCTGCGACACTGCCTTGGCAGTACCAGTCCACACACTCAGCTCACACCTAGACTAGAGTAACTGTATCTGCTCCGCTTGCGGCTCCGCTTGCGGAGCAGAGTACCGCAATGGTGCCATTCTGGAGCCAAGCACTGCGGGAAGCCACGGTCGCTTTTTGCAGGGGACGCGAAGGCGCGGACGCGAGGCGGCGTGCTGTGGCGTGCTGCGGCGCGCTGGGTAACGAAAATTGTGCGGCGTGCGGCGACGAGCCGAGCAGGCGCCGTCATCGTTGTCCCGTCGTTTCCTGTTTCCCTCACGATTGCAAAAATCGCACCCGTAGATCCTGCGGGCCGCATATGAAGTGAAGTCGTCAATTCATTGCGGTAAACGACGCAGCGGCTGACGAAAACGCCGTCCCCTCGCTTTCGCACGGGAGCTCGCTGACTCGGCAAGATGGCCGGATGTGACGGTCGCGTATCGCGTATCACTCCGCGAGAGCCGCAGACGCGAGCAACGCGATCGTCGTCTGTGTCGTCTGCTTCCCATACCTTGAAGACGGATGTCCTAAAATATCGCTCGCGTTATAAAAAAACAGGATTGTATTGTACCCAGTTGACGCACATAATGTTTAATAACTTAGGAAGCTTTCGGTTCGTTCGATTTTAGTCTAGGTTCTATATTTGGCGAACTAAAAGCGGAAAATATGTTCCCCCGAAACTCGGCGCTCTGGAAGGCCGCTTTCCCGCACGAAGTTCGGATCCAGTTCTGCCCACGTGACTACTCCTCCGCCAATACGGAGATGGCGGTGAAAGGAAAAGGAACGCGATACTCTGGCTCTGCAAGCAGAGCCGATACAGTTACTCTAACCTAGACCAGTGCATCCCCTGCCAACTAGTGCAATAGGATTTTTCAAAGCATTCGATCGCATCGACCACACACTTCTCCCTAAAAAAACTCCAGAAAGTGGGTATTGAGGGTTCCTTGGCCAACTGGCTAATGGACTTCGTCAGAAATCGAACCCAGCGAGTCGCCTTCCACGGTCATCTCTCGTCCCCCTGTACTGTGCTCGCCGGTGTGCCGCAGGGCAGTGTGCTTGGCCCTATACTTTTCTCGCTGTACATAAACGACATCACCGATGGACTGAAATCTAGGGCAATACTATACGCGGACGACCTCTCTCTTATACAACCAGGAATCTCCAAGGATGCAGTCACCTCCCTTCAAAATGACCTCGATGACTGTTACAGGTGGTCCGTGACACACAGCCTCCCACTAAACCCTAAAAATGCCTTAGCATGACAGTCAGCCTGTCCTTGGCTAAGCCCTCACACTCTCCACCGCTTGCAATAGGTGGCGCCGAACTCTCTCGTGTCAGTCACACAAAACTGCTCGGAGTCGCATTTGACGAGCGCCTCGATTTTAGTCGCCACATCCAAGGAACCGCTTCACGTGCGAGGCGGACACTGGGTTTTGTCACCCAAATTACGCGCGACATGCCAGCCGCATCCCTGAGGCACCTGTACACGTCGCTGGTACTCCCGCAGCTGGAATTCTGTTCTGCTATCTGGGACCCCCCCCCCCCCCCCCCCCTCAACAACGCATAAGAAATCTGTCGAGTCCATACAGCGGAGGGCAGCTTTTACGCTGTACCGACGAGATTCCCCCTCGTCACACCACACTGCCGCCAGAGATATTTCCACAACCAGACTCCTTCAGTATGCCCAGTGGCGGACTCTGCAACACCGCAGAGACGTAGCCTCAATCAGGCCCTTCTGCCTAATGATGGGTGCTGGCCACCCTGACGTGCCTTCCTCACTTCTCCTCAACAAGCGCACTGGCCGGCTACAACCTCCACTGTCACGAACTTTGCGCCACAAGACATCGCGCCTAATGCGTGCTGCAGAAATTTGGAGGTTACTCCCACACCACCTCACAGAGTCAATCCCCTGCAACCGAGACAACATCCACGAGTTGTGTAGAACAGTTACTCGGACCATAGCACAATCACCTCCCTTGCCACCCCTTCCCCCCACGTGTATTTGTGTGTGTGCATGCGTGTGTGTGTGTGTGCATGCATGTGAGTGTGTGTATGTGTTTTCTTTTTGTCTAGACTAGACTATTTTCCCGAAATATCTGGTGGGGTGGGTGAAAGGGGTGGTGTGTGTGTGTGTGTGTGCGCGCGCGCGTGTGTGCGTGTGTGTGTGTGTGCGTGCGCGCGCGCGTGCGTGCGTGCGTGCGTGCGTGCGTGCGTGCGTGCGTGCGTGCGTTTTCCTTTTCTTTTTTTGTCTAGACTAGTCCTCCTCATAGCGCCGTCTGGTTGGTGAAAGGGGCACAATATGTATATGGGCGCATGCCTTTCCCTCCTCACCTGCACACCGAACGGCACCACACTTTTAAGTGCAATAAAATACTATCACTATCACTATCATTTCACTCCAAGGCGTAGGTTGTGGCCAGATTATTCTTTTTTTACCTAAATAGCCAGAAAAATGCCTACTTTGGCTTCTATCCAATTTGCCACACGATTGCGAAAGTTCCAGATGATGAGCAAAAGGTGCCAGGAGACACACTAACAACCAGCGGTGAAACTTGGTTCTGGCCGCTGATAGAAATTTGAGGACCGAAACGATATGTGAAAACCGAAGAGCCCGGGATTGGAGTTGAACTCTTGTTTTGCAGTTAAGGTCAAATTACCCAGACTCTTGCCAAAACAAATCATTGCGTTTACAGGGCAAGGTGGAGCAAAATGAGACGAAACATTTTGTTTTGAGTTGTAGTTTTTATTTTTGCTTTAATATTTAAAAAAAAATCAGCATGGGGATATTCTTAGATGTCTTGACCCTATGCTCAGAAAATATTACTTAACTGTAGCAAGTGAAACATTAATCAAAGCTACAATATCTGAAATTCCCACAGTGTCTTATTTTACGGCAAAATGAGACTAGGTAGTGAGGTACAACGAGACACACTTAATTAAGAAAACCTGATATGCGTTCAGCTGTTACTATAAAGACACTTGAAACGCACTGTGGGAGCTCCAATAGACTTTTCATGAGCGCACACCTTGCATTCTATGCACTCGATTCATATTAAATGCGGGGCTGCTTGGCTTCTATGCACTCGATGTTCCTTGTTCAATGTTCTTTGTTCAATGTTCTTTGCACGCCAGGCACTGCCAGTCTCTTGTGGCGTGCATCGCACGGCCTGCATGCAGAACGCTCGGACACTCCATGCTTCTTCAGGGGATCAATGATCTTTCCCTTTATTTTCATGCTTCTTTTCATCTTCTTTTTCTTTCTTTTTCTGGTTGGGGGGGGGGGGGGGGCGGGGGGAGGCAGGGGAACGCCGGTTCTTGGTTGCTTTCACCAACATCAGCTTTGCCTTGTGTGGAGATGACGTTAGAACAGTGTTGCTCCCCAACCTGCTTGTTCTCTTTTTCTATTATACGTTAGGTGCGGAAGAAATGATTTTGAAACTTGAAACGACAGAAAAAACGTACCTATTGTGACCCAGCCGTTTCTTTTTTTTTCGGTAAACCGCTGCTTTTTATATTCCTTGAGTCATTAGGCTCACTTTTGCAGCTCATCCTTTGGTGTACCAAAAATTGAGGCAGCGGTGCGAAGGGATTGACGCTGTTGCTTGACACTTTCAAGAGCTTTGGTCATGTCACTTTCGCGCTATAAAGCCCTTGTTTTTTTTATACGTTTAGACCACCCTAGAAACCGTGAGAAAAGTAATATGTCTCAGGAGCCACCTGAAGACTCGTGCGTAATTGACATGCGCGTCATAGAATGCCGTATTGTCGCGTTTTCCCCCACGCGTATCCTGTTGCGGAAATAATTATTTTGCACATAAATAACCACAGATCACTCAGATTGGGTCCGCAGAAAGCTAATAAAGCTTACCGATAAAATTAAAGCTTACCTTGACAGAATAATCAGTGCCAACCGGGGTGCACGTCTCGAAGCGAAGCCTCGCGCTAAATTTTGCGCCTTTTAGGTGAGGGGAGGGGGGGGGGGGGGTGGGGGGGTAAACACGTCAACCTCAACTCCGCATTTTGTTTCTCCGAAACACTCCAACCGCCAGCTCTCCCTTTGTACACAAGCAATATGCACAGGTCACGGCACCTCGCGGTGAAGTTTGAACGTACTCCGATTGCATGTTTACGAGTGGAGTGGCGCTAAACACAAACTGTCGCATTTTGCCCCGCGTCTCATTTTACCTTACCTTACCCTAATTCGGGTTCATCGAGCTTTCAAAGCTCTGAATGGCGAGTCAAAAGACAAGTTGAGAGCTGTGCTTTTTGGGTAAAAACTTGACCCCACCGACTTCTTTTCCCGCGCAGTCAGTACAAGCTGTGCGGCGGAACCACCACCATTGAACAAGAGATCGCGGCGCCGTGGAACAACCAGTGCCCGATCCCAGCCATGACGTACACAAGCAGCGTCGCCATTGCAATACCGGCTTTGGCGAGTTTGGTCATTGGGGTGAGCTCAGGCTTCCAGAAAGGGGCATTGTGGAGGGTGTATACAGTAAGAAACTGAGGAAGAGGAGAGCTTGCGGGGTAGCAAAGCGTCGTGCTCTGATCGCGTTCGAAGAGTGAGCGGAGACAAAGGCTTTGCGTCTACTTACCTTCCTTTTCAGTCGAAGATCGGCGTCCTGGTTATCAAAGCGTCGAGCTTTGATCCAGTTTTAGAGTGAGTGGAGACAAAGGCTTTGCGTCTACCTACTTTCCTTTTCAGTCAAAGATCGGCGTCCTGGGTATCAAAGCGTCGAGCCTTGATCCAGTTTTAGAGTGAGTGGAGACAAAGGCTTTGCGTCTACCTACTTTCCTTTCCAGTCAAAGATCGGCGTCCTGGGTATCAAAGCGTCGAGCTTTGATCGAGTTTTAGAGTGAGTGGAGACAAAGGCTTTGCGTCTACTTACTTTTCTTTTCAGTCAAAGATCGGCGTTCTGGGTATCAAAGCGTCGAGCTTTGATCGAGTTTTAGAGTGAGTGGAGACAAAGGCTTTGCGTCTACTTACTTTCCTTTTCAGTCAAAGATCGGCGTCCTGGGTATCAAAGCGTCGAGCTTTGATCGAGTTTTAGAGTGAGTGGAGACAAAGGCTTTGCGTCTACTTACTTTTGTTTTCAGTCAAAGATCGGCGTCCTGGGTATCAAAGCGTCGAGCTTTGATCGAGTTTTAGAGTGAGTGGAGACAAAGGCTTTGCGTCTACTTACTTTCCTTTTCAGTCAAAGATCGGCGTCCTGGGTATCAAAGCGTCGAGCTTTGATCGAGTTTTAGAGTGAGTGGAGACAAAGGCTTTGCGTCTACTTACTTTCCTTTTCAGTCAAAGATCGGCGTCCTGGGTATCAAAGCGTCGAGCTTTGATCGAGTTTTAGAGTGAGTGGAGACAAAGGCTTTGCGTCTACTTACTTTTCTTTTCAGTCAAAGATCGGCGTCCTGGGTATCAAAGCGTCGAGCTTTGATCGAGTTTTAGAGTGAGTGGAGACAAAGGCTTTGCGTCTACTTACTTTCCTTTTCAGTCAAAGATCGGCGTCCTGGGTATCAAAGCGTCGAGCCTTGATCCAGTTTTAGAGTGAGTGGAGACAAAGGCTTTGCGTCTACTTACTTTTCTTTTCAGTCAAAGATCGGCGTCCTGGGTATCAAAGCGTCGAGCTTTGATCGAGTTTTAGAGTGAGTGGAGACAAAGGCTTTGCGTCTACTTACTTTCCTTTTCAGTCAAAGATCGGCGTCCTGGGTATCAAAGCGTCGAGCTTTGATCGAGTTTTAGAGTGAGTGGAGACAAAGGCTTTGCGTCTACTTACTTTTCTTTTCAGTCAAAGATCGGCGTCCTGGGTATCAAAGCGTCGAGCTTTGATCGAGTTTTAGAGTGAGTGGAGACAAAGGCTTTGCGTCTACTTACTTTCCTTTTCAGTCAAAGATCGGCGTCCTGGGTATCAAAGCGTCGAGCTTTGATCGAGTTTTAGAGTGAGTGGAGACAAAGGCTTTGCGTCTACCTACTTTCCTTTTCAGTCAAAGATCGGCGTCCTGGGTATCAAAGCGTCGAGCTTTGATCGAGTTTTAGAGTGAGTGGAGACAAAGGATTTGCGTCTACTTACTTTCCTTTTCATTCAAAGATCGGCGTCCTGGGTATCAAAGCGTCGAGCTTTGATCGAGTTTTAGAGTGAGTGGAGACAAAGGCTTTGCGTCTACTTACTTTCCTTTTCAGTCAAAGATCGGCGTCCTGGGTATCAAAGCGTCGAGCCTTGATCCAGTTTTAGAGTGAGTGGAGACAAAGGCTTTGCGTCTACTTACTTTTCTTTTCAGTCAAAGATCGGCGTCCTGGGTATCAAAGCGTCGAGCTTTGATCGAGTTTTAGAGTGAGTGGAGACAAAGGCTTTGCGTCTACCTACTTTCCTTTTCAGTCAAAGATCGGCGTCCTGGGTATCAAAGCGTCGAGCCTTGATCCAGTTTTAGAGTGAGTGGAGACAAAGGCTTTGCGTCTACTTACTTTTCTTTCATTCAAAGATCGGCGTCCTGGGTATCAAAGCGTCGAGCTTTGATCGAGTTTTAGAGTGAGTGCAGACAAAGGCTTTGCGTCTACTTACTTTCCTTTTCAGTCAAAGATCGGCGTCCTGGGTATCAAAGCGTCGAGCTTTGATCGAGTTTTAGAGTGAGTGGAGACAAAGGCTTTGCGTCTACTTACTTTTCTTTTCAGTCAAAGATCGGCGTCCTGGGTATCAAAGCGTCGAGCTTTGATCGAGTTTTAGAGTGAGTGGAGACAAAGGCTTTGCGTCTACTTACTTTTCTTTTCAGTCAAAGATCGGCGTCCTGAGTATCAAAGCGTCGAGCTTTGATCGAGTTTTAGAGTGAGTGGAGACAAAGGCTTTGCGTCTACTTACTTTCCTTTTCAGTCAAAGATCGGCGTCCTGGGTATCAAAGCGTAGAGCTTTGATCGAGTTTTAGAGTGAGTGGAGACAAAGGCTTTGCGTCTACTTACTTTTCTTTTCAGTCAAAGATCGGCGTCCTGGGTATCAAAGCGTCGAGCTTTGATCGAGTTTTACAGTGAGTGGAGACAAAGGCTTTGCGTCTACTTACTTTCCTTTTCAGGCAAAGATGGGCGTCCTGGGTATCAAAGCGTCGAGCTTTGATCGAGTTTTAGAGTGAGTGGAGACAAAGGCTTTGCGTCTACTTACTTTCCTTTTCAGTCAAAGATCGGCGTCCTGGGTATCAAAGCGTCGAGCTTTGATCGAGTTTTAGAGTGAGTGGAGACAAAGGCTTTGCGTCTACTTACTTTTCTTTTCAGTCAAAGATCGGCGTCCTGGGTATCAAAGCGTCGAGCTTTGATCGAGTTTTACAGTGAGTGGAGACAAAGGCTTTGCGTCTACTTACTTTCCTTTTCAGTCAAAGATCGGCGTCCTGGGTATCAAAGCGTCGAGCTTTGATCGAGTTTTAGAGTGAGTGGAGACAAAGGCTTTGCGTCTACTTACTTTCCTTTTCAGTCAAAGATCGGCGTCCTGGGTATCAAAGCGTCGAGCTTTGATCGAGTTTTAGAGTGAGTGGAGACAAAGGCTTTGCGTCTACTTACTTTTCTTTTCAGTCAAAGATCGGCGTCCGGGGTATCAAAGCGTCGAGCTTTGATCGAGTTTTAGAGTGAGTGGAGACAAAGGCTTTGCATCTACTTTCTTTTCTTTTCAGTCAAAGATCGGCGTCCTGGGTATCAAAGCGTCGAGCTTTGATCGAGTTTTAGAGTGAGTGGAGACAAAGGCTTTGCGTCTACTTACTTTCCTTTTCAGTCAAAGATCGGCGTCCTGGGTATCAAAGCGTCGAGCTTTGATCGAGTTTTAGAGTGAGTGGAGACAGGCTTTGCGTCTACTTACTTTCCTTTTCAGTCAAAGATGGGCGTCCTGGGTATCAAAGCGTCGAGCTTTGATCGAGTTTTAGAATGAGTGGAGACAAAGGCTTTGCGTCTACTTACTTTTCTTTCCAGTCAAAGATCGGCGTCCTGGGTATCAAAGCGTCGAGCTTTGATCGAGTTTTAGAGTGAGTGGAGACAAAGGCTTTGCATCTACTTACTTTTCTTTTCAGTCGAAGATCTGCGTCCTGGGTATCAAAGCGTCGAGCTTTGATCGAGTTTTAGAGTGAGTGGAGACAAAGGCTTTGCGTCTACTTACTTTCCTTTTCAGTCAAAGATCGGCGTCCTGGGTATCAAAGCGTCGAGCTTTGATCGAGTTTTAGAGTGAGTGGAGACAAAGGCTTTGCGTCTACTTACTTTCCTTTTCAGTCAAAGATCGGCGTCCTGGGTATCAAAGCGTCGAGCTTTGATCGAGTTTTAGAGTGAGTGGAGACAAAGGCTTTGCGTCTACTTAATTTTCTTTTCAGTCAAAGATCGGCGTCCTGGGTATCAAAGCGTCGAGCTTTGATCGAGTCTTAGAGTGAGTGGAGACAAAGGCTTTGCGTCTACTTACTTTTCTTTTCAGTCAAAGATCGGCGTCCTGGGTATCAAAGCGTCGAGCTTTGATCGAGTTTTAGAGTGAGTGGAGACAAAGGCTTTGCGTCTACTTACTTTCCTTTTCAGTCAAAGATCGGCGTCCTGGGTATCAAAGCGTCGAGCTTTGATCGAGTTTTAGAGTGAGTGGAGACAAAGGCTTTGCGTCTACTTACTTTTCTTTTCAGTCAAAGATCGGCGTCCTGGGTATCAAAGCGTCGAGCTTTGATCGAGTTTTAGAGTGAGTGGAGACAAAGGCTTTGCGTCTACTTACTTTCCTTTTCAGTCAAAGATCGGCGTCCTGGGTATCAAAGCGTCGAGCTTTGATCGAGTTTTAGAGTGAGTGGAGACAAAGGCTTTGCGTCTACTTACTTTTCTTTTCAGTCAAAGATCGGCGTCCTGGGTATCAAAGCGTCGAGCTTTGATCGAGTTTTAGAGTGAGTGGAGACAAAGGCTTTGCGTCTACTTACTTTCCTTTTCAGTCAAAGATCGGCGTCCTGGGTATCAAAGCGTCGAGCTTTGATCGAGTTTTAGAGTGAGTGGAGACAAAGGCTTTGCGTCTACTTACTTTCCGTTTCAGTCAAAGATCGGCGTCCTGGGTATCAAAGCGTCGAGCTTTGATCGAGTTTTAGAGTGAGTGGAGACAAAGGCTTTGCGTCTACCTACTTTCCTTTTCAGTCAAAGATCGGCGTCCTGGGTATCGAAGCGTCGAGCTTTGATCGAGTTTTAGAGTGAGTGGAGGCAAAGGCTTTGCGTCTACTTACTTTTCTTTTCAGTCAAAGATCGGCGTCCTGGGTATCAAAGCGTCGAGCTTTGATCGAGTTTTAGAGTGAGTGGAGACAAAGGCTTTGCGTCTACTTACTTTCCTTTTCAGTCAAAGATCGGCGTCCTGGGTATCAAAGCGTCGAGCTTTGATCGAGTTTTAGAGTGAGTGGAGACAAAGGCTTTGCGTCTACTTACTTTCCTTTTCAGTCAAAGATCGGCGTCCTGGGTATCAAAGCGTCGAGCTTTGATCGAGTTTTAGAGTGAGTGGAGACAAAGGCTTTGCGTCTACTTACTTTTCTTTTCAGTCAAAGATCGGCGTCCTGGGTATCAAAGCGTGGAGCTTTGATCGAGTTTTACAGTGAGTGGAGACAAAGGCTTTGCGTCTACTTACTTACCTTTTCAGTCAAAGATCGGCGTCCTGGGTATCAAAGCGTCGAGCTTTGATCGAGTTTTAGAGTGAGTGGAGACAAAGGCTTTGCGTCTACCTACTTTCCTTTTCAGTCAAAGATCGGCGTCCTGGGTATCAAAGCGTCGAGCTTTGATCGAGTTTTAGAGTGAGTGGAGACAAAGGCTTTGCGTCTACTTAGTTTTCTTTTCAGTCAAAGATCGGCGTCCTGGGTATCAAAGCGTCGAGCTTTGATCGAGTTTTAGAGTGAGTGGAGACAAAGGCTTTGCTTCTACTTACTTTCCTTTTCAGTCAAAGATCGGCGTCCTGGGTATCAAAGCGTTGAGCTTTGATCGAGTTTTAGAGTGAGTGGAGACAAAGGCTTTGCGTCTACTTACTTTCCTTTTCAGTCAAAGATCGGCGTCCTGGGTATCAAAGCGTGGAGCTTTGATCGAGTTTTAGAGTGAGTGGAGACAAAGGCTTTGCGTCTACTTACTTTTCTTTTCAGTCAAAGATCGGCGTCCTGGGTATCAAAGCGTCGAGCTTTGATCGAGTTTTAGAGTGAGTGGAGACAAAGGCTTTGCGTCTACTTACTTTCCTTTTCAGTCAAAGATCGGCGTCCTGGGTATCAAAGCGTCGAGGTTTGATCGAGTTTTAGAGTGAGTGGAGACAAAGGCTTTGCGTCTACTTACTTTCCTTTTCAGTCAAAGATCGGCGTCCTGGGTATCAAAGCGTCGAGCTTTGATCGAGTTTTAGAGTGAGTGGAGACAAAGGCTTTGCGTCTACTTACTTTCCTTTTCAGTCAAAGATCGGCGTCCTGGGTATCAAAGCGTCGAGCTTTGATCGAGTTTTAGAGAGTGGAGACAAAGGCTTTGCGTCTACTTACTTTCCTTTTCAGTCAAAGATCGGCGTCCTGGGTATCAAAGCGTCGAGCTTTGATCGAGTTTTAGAGTGAGTGGAGACAAAGGCTTTGCGTCTACTTACTTTCCTTTTCAGTCAAAGATCGGCGTCCTGGGTATCAAAGCGTCGAGCTTTGATCGAGTTTTAGAGTGAGTGGAGACAAAGGGTTTGCGTCTACTTACTTTTCTTTTCAGTCAAAGATCGGCGTCCTGAGTATCAAAGCGTCGATCTTTGATCGAGTTTTACAGTAAGTGGAGACAAAGGCTTTGCGTCTACTTACTTTCCTTTTCAGTCAAAGATCGGCGTCCTGGGTATCAAAGCGTCGAGCTTTGATCGAGTTTTAGAGTGAGTGGAGACAAGGGCTTTGCGTCTACCTACTTTCCTTTTCAGTCAAAGATCGGCGTCCTGGGTATCAAAGCGTCGAGCTTTGATCGAGTTTTAGAGTGAGTGGAGACAAAGGCTTTGCGTCTACTTACTTTTCTTTTCAGTCAAAGATCGGCGTCCTGGGTATCAAAGCGTCGAGCTTTGATCGAGTTTTAGAGAGTGGAGACAAAGGTTTTGTGCGTCTGCCCACTTTTATTAGCAGTCAGAGCTAGGTGGTCTGACGTGCCGCGCGCTCTTACTTCATTATTTTCCTTAGTTGTTATCAGTATTGGCGCATTTTTATTTTAATACGAACTTATTTTTGTTTTTATTTCAGGACGGAAATGTGCACCTCAAGATTGCTGGAGTAAACGGCGGCAGTGTCATTGGGTGCATTGAGTTTGACTTCAAAATCGCGAAAAATTAAGAGATTGCAATACAAAAGCTGGCAGCACGAAACCGAATGACGTCACTGGAAGCATCGCTTGTGTCGTGGTCCGAGGTTGCAATTGCTTGCGGCGTATCTTAATTTTTTTTTATGCTATCTTCTTTCCAAATTTATATTTTTTTTATATTTAGTGCTGTTTGTTTAGTTTCTAAGGTTAATATGAGTCTGGTCTTAAAAAAAGAGAGTTGATTGCAAAAATGTGAGACTTCCTAAAAATTAATTTTTAGAAAAATCCAGTTCATAACAAAAACTTCATTATGTTCAAAGCTTTAGAAACATGTCGCGTTCGTTATGACGCCTGCGAGGCAAAACCGAAAGATTGTTTTGATATCCCATCAAGTCAAAATGTGGCTTTCGCAACATTCTCGCATAAACATTTACAATTATAGAACAAATCAATCAATGTCTTTAAAATGTGGTTGCGCGCGGCAATCGAACAATCTTAGACCATAAAATAAAATATTGAATAAATAAGTAAACTTCGCGTGATTAATGGAAATGGTTTGTCTTTTTGCCTGGCTCTTTTTTGTCTTTCGTTTTTTTTTTAATTGTTGAAAGTTTTTTATATTGTATTGCTTTTTCTCTTCTTAATTGTGAATTTGTTCTGTATAAGGTTTTTTTTCTTGCATTTCAATTGGTTTTATAATTTTTGTTCTTATCATGTACGCACAAAAATTGCTCGGTTACTTTAAGTAACCTTCCTCTCGTTTATTTATACTGCTGTTTCTTTCAATAATAATAAATCTTGTCCCCGTTCTTTTTTGCTATTAATTACTTATTACCGTGAGATGCTTTCAACCATTTTCTTTTCGTTTTTTTTGGGAGCCCCTGCTTGAATGAATTCATTGTAAACTAACAACTTGTTTGAAAATAAAAACATTTTGACTTCACTAAGCTTGAACATCAGAAGCCTGAGCTTCACCAATGTACCAATGACTTTCGTTCTTTGTCTGCTTTTTTTTTTCATTGGTGATATGTATAGCCATGCCCCCCCCCCATACTTTCTTCCCCCCTTCTCCAATTCCGACTCGAAAGAGCTGAGTGTCTTGAAGTTATTGAAACATTGCCTGGAAATTAAAGAGTCGTCTGTTTTTCAACCTAATGCCGCCTTCGTCAGCCTGCCCGGAAACAAAAATAAAAATTGTCTATATTAACTTTACGAGAATTGGTTTCCTGTTCGCCTGGACGTACTGGACCTCTAGCCTTTTCCCATGAAAATATTCGTCTTCATGACATGCAGTACTGAACAGAACGGCGTTCCTGGAACGCCTTCCTTTTATGAGGAACGAAGGAAAGCCGCCGTTCTATTTTTTATCGGTGGAACTAGATCGGGAACTTGTAACATTTTTATTGGAACGGAAAGAGGAACGGCCTTCCGTTTTTTCGTGCAGTGAAGTAATTTTTATTTTATTTCCAAGAGAAACATTTTAAAAGTATATAAGCCATATTTTTACGAAAACCAGGATCTTGTTAACGTTTTGGTTACTTATCTTAGGGTTTATTTTATATGGTCCTCGCTTAGTAACAGTCGGGTGCCGGTGAGCTAGTGGGCATCAATTATTTTTTCAGTTCCCGAGACTACAAAACAAAAAGCAAACCTTTTTGTCGCAGAAAACGAAACAGAAAGAGGGAAGTTGCAAACTCAGCTACTTTTTTTGCTTCCACGAATCCTCATACACCCAAACATTTAAGGCCAACTACAGCCATCACTGAACTTCCACAAAGAGACCTACAGTTACAACAAAAGAGCAGGCTGCCAGACATAGAACACACCTTTGTATCTTTAACATTGATCACTTAAAATATATACAAAAAGTGATCTTTATTTTTTCGCCCGTTGTCCCCCGCCTTCGAACTGAAGTTAATCCAACCTTCAGGACTGACCTTCCTAAAGCCCCACCTTCTTCTCCACTTGCTCGTACGTCTTGCGGACACCAACATCGAGAAGACACTTTTGTTAAGTTAGAACAAAATACACTCTTAGATTGACACGTGTGAGGTTGTTGTGAAACGCTCGTGCAGTGTGGGGTAACAGTACGTTTGGCTCGTCCGAATGCCCCACCACAAATGTGAATATGTTAAAAGCTGAGATTTTTAAAGGTGCATATATGAACCAATGAAATCCTGCTTCCGGTTGTTTTCTTCTCCTAAAAAAAACTTTCCTCGATCTAACTAAATATGGTAATCATTAAAATACAAATGTAATGTATATGTAACGATATGTTCCATTTTTTAACTGTAACGGGAACCAGTTCTTTTCTTATAGATGGAACTTGTAACGGAAACGCGTTCCAAAAATCAGAAGGAACGAGGAAAGCGCTTTCGTTCCTTCTTTTTTGGAACGTGTACAACACTGATGACATGTTTAAGATTAGATCAGGTTGAGGTTGAGGCGGAGAGAACATTTTTCATCAGTTAGAAAGGATGAAATCTAGCTGTCTGATGTCAATTCCTCCTTGTCCGACCCAGAATCTGCTTACGGCACGTAAGAGCAGCGTGAAATGAAAAACGCGGACGCATCAAAACACTAAAATAAAAAAAATAAACATTCTTTTTTCGGCGACATGTGCGACAAAATATAAAAGAATTGAAGCAAAATAAAATTACTGATTTACCTCGTTGTCTGAATCCAAATGACACCGCCCATATATATACCATATATATAGTATATATACTATATATATTGTCACCAATCCATCATCCCGTGCAGCCTCACCCTCATTATCCTCATCATCATCACCATCGCCGATCGCTCGCGCTGCCCGCTCGGGACAGTGTCTAGGACAGTTCGAAAATAAACATAATTGAAACCGGCCGTCAAGCCTCTGTTTTCCTCACATTATATGTATAGGAAATGACCTGTGTAAAATATATATATATATATATATATATATATATATATATATATATATATATATATATATATACTGTATATAAACATGGCCGAAAAACGTACTTGATCGAGAGGGTTGTTTGGATTTTTATAACAAATTATTCGTAAAGTAAGTCGACGTTTCGGCCTGAGAGACACCTTTCTTGAGACTGTCTACATGATATGAAATATTGACACACCTTGACTACATCACGTGGGCCATGACGTCACATACGCACCAGCCGGACCCCGAATTTCTCGGTGGCAACTCGGCCTCCGTGACGCTCCTGCCCTCGGCGGAGGCACCTACTTGTTTATGACCGGGTACCACTAGAGCGACAGACAGAAACAAACAACAGCGACAAGCCTCAAACCCATGCAGCACGCTCGCTATGGTACCGTTGGCAGGCGTTTAGTCGTTCGGTGCTCGCGAAGTAAGCACGAGCACGGCACAAGCGATTGCAAGCCTACTAAAGATACCCTCGCGTGCATGATGCTCGTGTTTCAATCAATCAATCAATCAATCAATCAATTTATTTCCTCTCCATCTGAGAGGGGAAGGCAGGGAAAAAAGCAGCATGTCGCTACTTGACGAAGCCCCCGCCTCCCCTTTACATCCGCAGAAGAAACACAACATATGAGTGAAAGAACAATGTAACATATACAAAAACAGATAATCTAGCGCTTACACAGGACAGTGGTGGCAATTATATACAGTGCGAAGGGTTAAACAAGGTAAACATAATTCAGAGTGGCACACGTTTGCTCCAAGAGTTTAGAAATGAGCACATGCACTACAATGCACATTGACTTTGAAAAATATATACGCAACTGCCTCTGCACCTTCAAAACATGACAACACCTATTCAATAGGTCACTCAAATAGGTCACGAATTTTCTTTTTGCTTGTGTTGGCCACGGAAATTCCCTTTGCTTCAAGGTTGTTTAAAATTCTTGGGAGAGTAAAAGCCAGTCTCTGGTCACCATAAGTAGTTCAGGAGCGCGGTGCGGCCCAGTTTCGAGAATGACGAGTGCTGTGTGTTGCGTCTCGCGACTCCAAACCTGAGACTGAATTAAAAACGCTAATAGGGTTGTTTAATGATCTTTTATATGACATCAAAAGCTTGTAACTATAGTAATTGGTGATTTTTAACGTGTCAAGCTTTTTAAACAAAGATTTTGTGGAGTGATCATACGCTACATTACATATTATTCGTATTGCCCTTTTTTGCATTACAAAAAGTCTCTGAACGTTCGTTTTCGTAGTGGTACCCCAAACCAGGAAACAATAATCGAAATATGAGCAGAACAGGGCGTGATATATAAGCAGCATTATCGAGGGGGGTAAGATATTACGGTATTTATATAAAACGCCTAAAGCCTTCGAGAGCTTTATGGTTGTGTCCTGCACCGTCTCATCCCACAGCATATGTTCATTAAAAGTCACGCCAAGCACCTTAGCATTTTTTACAATTTCCACATCTCGTGAGGCAAAAGAGAGCCCTCCCGGCAGGCTGCTGGTGCAGCTTGTATTTTTTGCGCGGAAAATAATTGCCTTACTTTTTGCAACATTTATTGTTAATGAATTTGCGGTGGTCCAAACGTTCAGACTCTGCAAGAATTGATTTGCTTTTCTTATAATGATGTCAATGCTAGTTCCAGAGAAAAACAAACTTGTATCATCTGCGTATATTATGTATTTGACGCTATTATCTAAGTTCACTATGTCATTTATGAAAAGATTGAAGAGAAGGGGCCCGAGAATACTCCCTTGCGGTACACCTGCCTTTAGTTGGCGCATGTCTGAGCGCTCCCCGTCAATTTCAACGTACTGATAACGGTCTTGCAAATAGCTTTCGATTAGGTTCAGGGCAACACCCCTGATGCCACAAAGGTCCAGTTTCTGCAGTAAAGTTTTATGATTAAGGCGATCGACTGCCTTCGAAAAATCGATAAATATGCCTAATGTTAGCAGTTTGTTTTCGATGTTTGTAAGTATCATTTCTTTCTGTTTTAGTAGCGCCAACTCTGTCGAGTACCCCTTCCGGAAACCGAACTGACAAGGGGTAATAATTGAGTGTTTTTCACAGAAAGCATATAGTCTCAT